TCAATCTCTACAAAATACTTGCACATAAAATAAGGAACAATCAAGCCTATTTATAAGTTTCAAAATTAGAAAGAGAATTGAAAAAAACTATAAACCATTAAAGGTGCATAAATAATTAAATCAATTGCATAACCATTTCAATTTGTCAAATTGAATGGTAAATCGAATCACATTAAGAATAATGAGTAGTGAAAATATGAAGCATGCATTCATTATTTCATAACACATTTTACTTATTTCTCTGTTTTGTTTTTTCAAAAAAGAAAAAACAAAATAAACTAAAATAAAGATTTAAAAAAGTAATGTTGAAAACAACCAAGTAAAAAAATAAAAAAATTAATCCCATTGATTCGATAACAAAAATAAAAAAAATTTAATTTAATTTAAAAAAGTAATGTTGAAAAACGGAATGACGTAATCAAGATAGAAACCAAATTTAGAGAAACGAGAATAAGATGAAAAAAATGCAAAGACACGATAAAAACTAAATAAAAAATAGAAAGATTTTTGCAATCATCAACCCTATCTCAATTTTATAAGAGTTAACTATGAGGTAATTTGAAACTTGATTGAACAATATTCTTCTTATCACAATCCTTCGTTTTCATATATTTACCGATAAAATGATTGATTACATATGTGTGAGGGGGTTATTGATAACTGATTAAACGATTGATCGATAAAATCGATTAGAATACAAAAAAATTAGTGACGTGACTTGTAAAAGCAACGATCAATCAACCAAATAGAATGGATTCAAGTAGTGAAGTGACGTAAGAAAAATATCGAACGGTGCTGGCAAGATGCAATTCGGGTTGATGGCGAAGCCAAGTGAGTCAAAGTTCAAATATATGGTGTGCGAGTGGAAAAGTTTTGACATTGAGACTTCAAACTTTTTTTGATTGAAATATTAGAAATCTTTCTCCTAATTATGTGAGATTGGTATTTATAATGAACTGAGGATGACCATTAAACTTGTGCCACCTCATCTACGTTTGAAATGTTAAATTTAAGTTGAAAAAATTAGGGCTTTTTTTTTTTTTTTAAGATAAACCATTTGAACTTGTTAGTAAAGGTTAGAGAAAACAATAATTGAGTCTTCAATTAGCGGATCATGCTTCGAACCCATTAAATCAATCTCTTTAACGTATCCGAGAAATAAAGTATGAATATTAATCTTTTTAGAATACTTGTATTTATTATTGCATGACTCAATGTTAGGCAAGACATTCTTAATCCAAACTATTTATTATGCACTTTGGTGTATTTTGAATTCATGTCATACTATAAAAAAAAAAAATTAGTATATAATAAAATTAATTAAATTACTTAACACATAATAAAAATAACTAAATTACTTAATTGATTTTATGGAAAAAGGTAATTGTGAATTGAATGTTGTAGCTTCTTGCAATTAAAAAATTATTATAAAAAAGATAAGAGTTTATTTCACGTCAAGTTATGATTTTATGAGATAATAAAATTAAAATAGTAACATTACAAAACAAATTATACTAGAAATTATAAAATTAACAGCTATCTAGGTATTTCACGCTACTCGGACACTCCTAGTTAATTTTACAAGTTTTCTACACTTCAAATGATTTAACAGTCCAATCAATGTCTCCTGATATTATATAGTTTTTCCCAATAACCATTAACCATTGGCCTCAATAATTTATCTTTGTTTTTCTTTTCTTTTTATTTTTTCTTTAATTTTTGCCTTATTTGGGGAAATGCGTGAACTTTCTAAAACATAAAAGAAAAGAATTAAAGCTCTTGAAGTCATGGGCTAACACGCTTCTGTCATGGCTGGACTAACATAAATTTTCAACAAATTTAGTTGAACCAACCCCGTAGGAGGAGAAAGGGAGAGGCTAAAATAATCAGACAATGACCCGTACAAGCGTTCAATGTCAGTTTTTGCCTTTGAATTAAATGCTCTGAAGCTTATATTACTAAGTTGATCAATTTTATCTTTAAATTATTATATTTTAAATAAATAGAATCATTTCGTTTGATTTGATAGTTAGATCAATGAGTCAAACTTTAACATCAAAATCCAATATAAAAAATTAAACTTTTGGTATTTTCAATTGATTTTTTCATAGATGCTAATTAAAATGATTTTAGTTTAAAAATAGTTTCATTTTTTATATTATAAATTTTTGTATATCTTTTAATAATAAAAATTCATCAGTTGTAAAAATAAAAAACAAATTGGAATTATCACAATTTTTTTTGAAAGATAGGAGGTTGTATAGATTTATATAGATAATTTTAATGTGATTTTCAAAATGTTTGTAATTATGGTTCTCAAAAATTTACTTATTTTAAGTTTAATTAGATATTACGTAGTTGGTTAAATAAATATCTTGAGAATCATGCTAGACTATACACATAAAATTATATATATATATTTTAGAATCTCAAAAAAATTTTAGCATCATTTCAAATTATTTTCTATTTTTCTATTTTTTTTTCAAAAAAATTAATGTTTAAGAACATTTTAAAAGTATTTCTTGATTTAGAAAACTTTTTGAAATTATTTGAAAACCTTCCATTCAAAATATCAGAAAACAATTTTTTTAATTTTTTTTTTTAGTCAACAGCCAAATTTAACCTACTGATTTTATAATTAAACAAAACGAAAAGCCAATAGATGATTAAAAAAAAAATGGTTGTTCAAGAACAAAACCGATAGGATTGAATACATAGCTAAATATTGCCATAATCCAATAATTCAAGGGCAGAACCTGCGATTAAACCCCAGCCTAAGGGGCGTAGCCATTTTCTGCTCAAAACTCTAAAAAGCAAGCCAAATCCCTCAATCCTTGTGTCAGACAGGTCGAAATCGACAAGATTGGCCTCGTTCCCAAACACCCTTGTCATATATTAAGAAACGACCTGCTCATTGGCTTAAATTTCAGTTGACTCCTCTTGCCATTGGGGTCCTAGAAATCTCTTTTCTCGTACAAGATGGTAAAAAACAGACCAATTTCCAAATTGACAAACACCCTCCTATAATTTTTTATTCAAAATTTAATAGTATTCTTGAAATCACGGGGATAAAATTTTTTTAGTATTATTTGACACACAATTTTATTTAAAAATACTCTCTATTATTAAACAAACAAAAGTTAACAAAATACTAAATACAGTATTTTACTTATAATAATCACTTTATGGAATTAATGGCCTAACAATGCACAAATAATTATTTAAAACAGATTGAGATGGTCTGTGATTATTAATTATAAACTTGTTATTATTGTTATAATTTTTTAAGAATTTGTTATTGAGTTCAAAAACCCCATCATAATCATAAAACATCCACTTAAAACAAATGTATTTGACATAAAACATGTACATTGCAAATTGAAATTAAGTAGTCTAAAAAATAAATTATTTTGACTTTGTCTTTGACTCTCTCTTTCTTTCTTTTTTTTTTCATGCGGCATTTTTATCTACCATTGAAAATATAATTAATTCTATTTGAAAAGTAATTAACAAAATTTAATTCCTTTTAACAAAAACAATTTTATAATTTAAATATTATATATTGATAAAAAATTCGTTCACGTATTACCAACTTATTGGTTTTTTGACTTTGTCTTTGACTCTCTCTCTCTCTCTTTTTCATGTGACATTTGTATCTACCGTTGAACATATAATTAATTCTATTTAGAAAGTAAATAACAAAATTTAATTATTTTTTAAAAAATTATTTTCGATTTCTTAATTTAAATATTGTATATTGATAAAAAATTTGTTCAGATATAATTTGTTCATAAACGTACCACCAACTTATTGGTTTTAACTCTAGTATTTTAATTTTGTAATTAGAAATGCTTTATATATATGGAAATAAAATGAGAAATGAATTTCACTTCAATTAATCATGTTGTTGGCTAAATTGCTATTTCATAATTAAATTCATTAGTATATATATATATATACGGAATTAGAGTTTAAAAATACAAAAGTGCAAAAATATCAATATGCAATACACGTATAAAATACATGCAAAAAATTAAAATTATAAGCTAAAATGTAATTTTTCTTTTGTCTACAACCGCTGTCTCTTTTTTTACATCCAGTGTAAGAAGAAAGAACTCAGAAGTTCACCATCACCACCATGAAGAATGGGACATCACAAACGATATTAATTTTTTTTTTCTAATTACCGTAAAATCAGATTTTGACCAAGGATGACAATGTAATTTTCTGTCACCCATCTCTAAATTGTTTCAAATAATGGATTGATTTGTGAGAGAAGAGGGTAATAATCTTTACGGTAAAAACTATAAAGATTAATTACTTATAAATATTTGTAGACAGTAATTGCCGGTTACTAGCAGCATTACTTATTGTAGGAAGATTCAAGATAGAGTGAACAATCACTTTGTGTGGAATAAATTTTTAAAATTGGTCCCAACAAGAAATAATCCTTGACATTTTTTATTTTCAAAAAATACTTTTTTATTTATATTAACTATATTTAATTTAATATTATTTTATTAAAAAATGTGTATTTTTTCTTTTCCAACCTTGTCATTATTTATTTTTTTTAAAAAAGATAAAAAATCAGAAAAAAGATATAAAAAAATTTAAATAATTAGTTTTTAAAACAAAAGTAATTAATTAATTCGTTTCTAAAAAGTGCCGATTTATGATTTACTACTTTGGGGGCGGCGAGGGCATTATGGTCATGGACGAGTAAGGACAAAAAGGAAGACCATCGGACTACGAGAAGGGCACAATTTGTAAATCAAGGCAAACCCGCATGGCAATTAAAAACCTGCCCAAATTTATTTTAATACTCGCGTGGCACAAACGGTTCCGCTTCCCCACTTCTATAAAACCCCAGTGCACCCACTCTATCCACACACCGTCTTCATTTCCTATATGCGACTCAGTATTTTTTGGTGATTTTTTTCTCTCTCCTAGGGTTTCAACATTTTTCTCGTTTTCTTTAGAAGACTCCTTGAGAAGCATCAATGGCACAAGAAGAGGGTCACAACGGAGGTGTTGAGAAGGCTGACGTGGAGGTGTCTTTCAAGGCCTTGAAGCCACAGCTGTTTGTGGAGGCAACCAAGGCCAATGACGCTGTCCAATTCTACAAGGCTGCCTTTGGTGCTGTTGAGACTTGCCGTAATACTCAGCCAAAGCGCAAGGCAGAGCAGGAGCTCCCTCACATCATCTCTGCTCAGCTTCAGCTCGCTGGCTACACCTTTGTTGTCTCTGACCTCGCCGAAGACTCTGCTTCGTACGCCTCTCTCTCCTTATCTCCTTTATAGACGTTTATGCTTTTGTATAGGTACCATGCTTTTGAAAGTGGCTTCTGTATTGTTAGATCTTGGTGTTTGGAAGATACTTGAGTCTGTTTTAGCTGTTTGTACGGTTGAATCTGTATCTTTATGTTTTTCGTTTGCATTCTCGATTTTTTTTGTGCGTTTTATTGTTTTTCGTAGATCGTTTTCTGGTTTTCCATCTCTCTACCTCACTCACATCAATGTTTTATTTTCGAACATGACTGGTCAGTTTTTAGGAGCATAAGAGTATAAATCCAAATTTCTCTGCTGTTGTTAGCGTATCTAGTTTTTGTTCCCTGCTTTTACGCATTTTATTTGTTCTAATTTTGCTTTGTTTTCTATTTTTCTCGTGCTTTTCTTCACAGCAGTGTTTTGGGACTTCCTTCTTTTGTTGCTAAAAATATTCAAGCTATTATTTATTGATTATAACTAAATATTGCGTTTTTTGTCGCTTTGGGTTCTATCCTTATTGAATTTGTCTCTTTGCTCACTATTTTCTCTCTTTCGTGAAAGAAAATTGGTTTTGGTGTTTATTTTGATTTTTGAACATTGTTTCTCTCTTTTTTTTGGTTTGTCGTTACGTATCTTTTGTTTCCTAATATCCACGTGGATACTATGCCTTTTGTTTTTCTGTTACTCGTTTGTCATCCGTTTGTGATTTGGTTTTAACTTTCTAATCCGTTTAATTTTTACCTACTTTTTCGCATTTTCTGACCCGCATACGATCTCTATCTGTAATGATATAGTTTTATTTCCTGCTTGAAAATGCGGTGGGTCTCTCCTTGGATTTTGTAATATTTTTTGGGTCTTTCTAGATGTACTCAACAAGCTTTTCATTCCTTGGTTGTTGACCACTGACTAGGGCCAAGGCCGGGGGAACTGGATTCGCTCTCTGCCTAGAGACTGAAGATGTGGAGGCTGCTGTTTCAAAGGCTGTGGCCGCTGGAGCTGTTGCTGAAGGCGAGATCGCTGAAGGTGATGGTGCATGCTGTTGTGCTGGGCGCGTGGGCAAGGTCAAGGATCCCTACGGTTTCGTTTGGGCTCTCTGCTCCCCCTCCGATAAGTGCGGTCCGAACGTGGAAGCTTAGACGCCGTTTGATCTGATGATCTTGTTCGCCTCTAATTAGTAGGAGTACTAGGCGAGTCTTATCTTGGGAGACATTTTTATTTTCGTTTAATTGCACTAGGGCAGTAGTGGGACCCTGACATCTGAAAAGGTTTCTGCCTAATTGGATTAAGGCCAAGGGTGATTAATAGGGGTAGGCTCTGGTATTTGAGTATCTTGATACGGTTTCACGGTTATGGTTTTTGGGTAATTTTGAAAACCCCTTGGTTTAGTGGAAGGATGGACGGATGAACATCTTTTAACCTGTTACTGTGCTTTCCTGTGCGGTACTTTGGTTTCTATTTTGTGCCTTGAGCTTTTACTATTATTTTATATGGTTGCTTTTGTTAGAATGCTTTGTTCTTATCTCGTGAATCGTGCGATAGGAGAAGGGACGAGTGGGCCATACGTGTTGATTTTATGTGCGGAATGGGTTCTGGTCGAGGGTTTTTGAAAGTCTTGTTTACCCTTCAATTAAGGGAGTAAATAGTAAATTAGTCCTTTTAGATTAATTAGTTTTTTTAATAAAGTTATTTTGATCTAATCTATTTAGAGGTTTTCATGTAATTTAATTATTTTCGTTTTGCTAATTTATTTTGATTTTGTTTTTAGAAATGGAAAAAAAGTAAAAAAGATGGAAGTATCAAAGTAGAAGGAAGATATTTTTTAAAACATTTAAGGTTGGAAGGTATTAATTTATAATTTATGTATTCAATATCAAAAGGGCAATAATGACACTTTTCTGACTGGCATTGTGGATAAACGGTTAATTGTCGCACCTCGTTCTAAAAACAATATTCTGATTGGTGTGTTTTTTTTCTTTGGGAAACAACAATTGCTTTAATATAAAATATTACTACAAAATACTAACTAGTTTTTTTCCATAACCTAACATCGATCAAATAAATAAAACATCGAAGATGATTTTCTTGGTCTTGGTCATGGGTCGTCTGCTTCGGACGTTGATGTGTTTTTTAATCACGGCTAGTCTGTTTCGACCCTCTTTGTATCAATGGACGATTGCAATTAGATCTGCTCTCTGTGCCCCTGTGAGAGTGATAATTTTGCTTTCAAGTAAATTACAAATTAATCGTTAAAGTATTAAGAGACAAATTAAGATTTAATTACCTAGTTTGTTTTTTTATATATATATATATATATATATATTAATTTGTTTTTTTTTAAAAAAAAGATGCTATGAAAATATTGAAGAGATTATTTTTTGAAATGAAATAATATTAAATTAATTTTAAGTAATACTAATTTTGAAATAAAATTAGTTAATTTGTGAAATAAAAAATTAAATTTTCAAAACCAGAAAAACTAATATATAATTTACTCCCTTTCAATAGAATGTTGGTTTTGTACTATTAATCATATATAATAGTTATTTCATTGGTTTATTTTGAGAGGAGAAATAGACACATAAAAAAGTTAAAAATTATATCTATATCCATCAAAAGTGTTAAGAAGATTTTTACGTCTGCTCAAATTTTTTTATTTTCTCTTTTATTTTTATTTTTTTATATATATATATCTTTCTCGTTAAAATGAATTTATAAAATAACTATCATACATATCCTTAATTACTGATAACGTATTATAAAATTTCTCTGGTTAGTACTCCCAGATAAGATGAGGTCTCGATAAAGCTCTTTTTCCGTTTGATGTATGGGCGTTGATAAGGTTAAAATAAGACTTTCGCTTTCTTGCTGGCCGTTGAGTGGTTATTAGTCAGTCGACACGCGTCCGAAACATTTTCAGAATTACATGGGTGTGGGGTGTACGTGGTCCCTAAGCCCAAACTGGATGGTGGTACTTGGCAGGGACTTGATTGAGCTTGGGGTGCGTAGGATTGTCGCGAGGGTTCAATCGCATAATTCGGCTGTTTGTTCTTAATATTTTTAAAATGTTTTTTATTTTAAATAATTTTAAATGTGGTTCGTTCCATGAAATTTTATTAATTTTTTCAATAATTAGTTATAGATGATACTTTTTATCAGATCAAAGTATCATAGATAATGATGGGTCACATGAAATTAACACGTTAAAAAAATAAAAAAAATGGATATATATATATATATATATATATATATATATATATCACTTCACTGACATTTTTATCTGAAGTGAAATGCCAAGTGTTATTTGTCATCGAAAAATTGAATAAAATCTCATTAGAAAGATTACATTAAAAAAATCACAAATAAAGAGACATAATAAATAAATAAAAGCTACGTTTAAAAAGTGTTAAAAGAGAAATGTCAAGAACGCAGAAAAGAATTATACGATGAACCCCTTCTCGCGAAGCTGTGAATGGAGCATTGGACTTGGAGAAGGTTTTGGTGCTTCATCTATGCTTCATAATTGTATTAATTTACTTATGCGGTAAGGGTTCTTGGTAGCCTTTCTTAAAGGTTAATGGTTGCATATATTTTTTTATTCTTTCTTTGGTTTTGATAGTGTCTCGTTATTTTTTTTTTAAATTAAAAAAATTGCTTTTTTTGTTTGATTTTTATCTTAATTTTGATCATTCACAACTTTTTGATTTAATGGTGTTAAACACAGGGTTAGCTCTATAGAATTCCGACAGGTGTTAACGTTTTTTCTTTTCTTCTCAATTCCTTTTTTCTACTTTTTTTTAGTAAAATTAAAAACTAAAAAAAAGTGAAAAAATATTTTTATGCATTTAAATTTATTTTTATAATAATAAACAAACTTTGATCATAAAATAAAGCATTTTTCTAAACATTAAAAGTGATTGGGAATAGGGATGGCAATCCAATCCGATCTGTTTGGGAAGCAAAATTTTGCTCCAAACAAGACACAGAGTGGGGATGGTTTTTCTTTTTTGGGACGGAATGAGGATAAAGATGGCCATCCCCACCCCACCCCACCTCGACCTTTTGCCTTTAAAAAAGGTAATTTGGCGGGGCTCTGTCCCGTCCAGTTTGGGATGGAAAAGGGGAGCGAAATTTCGCTCCAAACAAAATACGAGGCAGGGATGGATTTTTTTTTAGGGACGAGGCCATCCTTAATTGGAAATGGGAAGACGGTAAAAACTGAAAAGTGGTGAAGGATGTCTCTAAACAGCGACATTTTAATGATCAAACATTTAGTTTGACCTTCTAGTTTTGGTGTCTTTTCCATTTTGGTTCTCAGTTTTTGGTTGCTTTAATTATACGCCAAGCTGGCAATTATTTCTTTTTCCAATCCTTATTCTTTTGATTTTTCTTCAATTATGTTCTGATTTTCAATTTTTTTTTATTTTGTATTTCTATCTCTCTCTTTTTTTTTTCCATATTTTTCTTCTAGCTTTTTTCGGATCTTTTTTTTTTTTTTTTGCATCTACTCTATGAATTAAGGTCCATTTGAATGGCATTTGTATCAATGTCTCTATTGAAATATTGTTCGATGATATATCTTATCTTTGATCTAATATATGAGATAATTTTGGAGCTATTAGGTTGGTTTGAAGGCTCAATGGTAGTGTCATGGAAGAAATGGTGGGCTAGACACATCAATGATGGATGAAAGTGTAAAATTAGGTTAAAGAAAGAGTTTCGGTCTAGTCATATAACTAGTAAGTAAAGCCTGTGTTTTCCATCAACACACAAAATCCTAAAGTATTGGCATAGACTAGAAGGCTCTCTCTCCTTGGCGGCTCCAGTTTTCTTTCAAGCAATATCTCGAGTACTTAATCAATCATGACAAGAGGTATGTATCCTATTAATTTTTGCTATGCTTATATGCTTAGGCATATTTAATTTTATTACATATGGTATTAGAGCCTCCTTCTTGCTATATTGATTAATGTTAATAGAAATCCATTAATTATATATTGAGAATATACTATGATTTTTAAAGAAAAATCATATATTCTAGTATGGTTATTTAATTGAAATCTTTAAATCAAAGGTATATATATATATATATATATGGATGTAGATGCACATGTGTATACACATGCACGTGCAAAAGGGACAAAGTTGATGTTAAAAGTATTATGTCCCTTTGGTATGGATTTTTATCAACATGTTCAGATTTTTCTTTCCCTCTCTCTTTGGTGCGGATTTGGCCTAAGTCATGCCTAGTTTGTATATATATAAGACATGAATTAAATATATATATACATGTGCTCCCATTTTAATTTCAAACAAATTTTTCTTTCACTCACCCTTCTGGATCGAATTTATGCCTAGTTTATATATACATCACGTCTTTGTGTACTTTCACAGTACACTTGCTTCCATTTGATTTCAAATGGTTTTTTCTTTCTGGAGCTTGGAGGAGAGGCACGCACACCATGTGTCCAGCTAGGGTATAAAACTTAGTCGTGCCAAATTTCATCTCACATGTATCACGTACATATTGTACACATTGTCCAGCATTGTTTCCTTTTATTAGATTAAAATAATAATAATAAGCTAATATGGCATCCGCATGCATGCATAAGGAATGACCATATGTTATATTTTAATAATATTTTATTATCAATTCAAGTTATGCATAGTATATTGTATATCAATTTAAGGAAACATGATTATTTAGGTGTATCAATATAAAGTTTCCAATTGATATTACAGCAATGTTATGTTGAGACGATGATGTCAATTAACTTAGGAATAGTCATAACATCTTAAGTTATTTAGATCACATTAAAGTTTATTAAATTAATATGCTCATAAAGTACATAGCTTAATTTGCAATTATTTTATAAAAATAATGACTTGGCCCTACAGAGAGGTTGCTATTTTTATAATTTAATTGAAATAAAATAATAAATTGATGTTAAGAATGGACTTTATTCTAGGCCCTTAGGTGTGAATATTTTTTATTCTTGATATTTTGTTTATTAGTCTTATTATTAAAGAATTAGTGAATTCTATGCATGATGCAACCTCTACCCACATGAATGTTAGAATTTACTATTAAATTGACATTGGTTAATTTAAATAAAATATGTTTTTCATAGTATTAAAGTCTTTTCTTGGTTATTGCAGCTTTTTCTATTGCTTATATTGATACATCTAGTATTCCAATGCTATGTGGTGATAATTTTGCTGATTGAAAAGAAAATATTTTCTTTGCATTGGGGTATGTGGATTTGAATTTAGCCCTACGTGTGGTTGAACCACCCATCCCCAAGGATTCAAGTGATGCATATGAAAAGACTAATTATGAGTGGTGGGAGCGATCTAATCGCTTAAGTTTAATGCTTATAAAGTCTCGCATAAATAAGAATATTAGGGGTTCAATTCCCGAATGCTCTAAGGCAAAAGATTTCCTGAAGGCCATAGAAGAACAATTTGTTCATTCTAATAAGGCATTAGCTAGCACCTTAATGAAAAAGCTTTCGACAAGTCATTTGACTATTCTAAAGGTGTGTGTGAGCACATTATGGAAATGAGAGACAACTGTTGCTCAATTAAAATAATTAGAGGTAGAGATTTTCGAGTCGTTCTTGGTGCATTTCATTTTGAACTCTCTCCCTGCAAAATATGATCCGTTTAAGATTTCTTACAACGTACATAAGGAAAAATGGTCAATTGATGAATTATTGACCTTGTGTGTTCAAGAAGAAAGGAGATTGAAACTTGAGAAACCCGAAAGTGCTCATTTGGTTTCTCAAGCTAAGGGAAATTTCAAAAAGGGTAAAAATGTTCTAAATGTGAAAAAACATAAAAATATGCCTATAAAGCAAAATGACAATAATAGTAAATGTTTCTTCTGCAAGAAATGGGGACATGTTAAGAAAGATTGCCCTAAGTATCAAAAGTGGCTCGTGAAGAAAGGTAAACTCATCTCTTTAGTGTGTCATGAATCTTTTTTTATTGAGACTCCTAATAATACATGGTGGATTGATTCTGGTTCTACAATCTATATTGTGAATATCATACGGGGCTTTACGGACCTAAGGAAGTCGAAAAGAAATGAAGAAGGCATCTATTCGGGAAATCGGATGCACTCTAAATTTGAAGTCTGTGGGGACTTTTAGATTAATTTTAAAATTTGTATTTATTTTGGATTTGGAAATTGTTTTTATGTTTCATCATTTTCTAGAAATTTGATTTCGGTTTTCGGACTATGTAGTATTGGCTATGGATTTTTATTTAATGAAAACATTTTTAGTATTTTGAGAAATAAAATTTCTATTGGTGGTGGAACATTAATTGATGGTTTATATAAAATTGATTTAGACCTCACTTTTGAGCTCGACTATTTATCAATGCATGTTAATACAAGTATTAAAAGGAGTAAAATTGATGAGAATTCCTCCACATTGTGGCATAGGAGATTAAGTCATATCTCCATTGAAAGAATTAAAAGATTGGTGAATGATGGAGTTTTAAATGCTTTTGATTTTACTGATTTTGGTACTTGTGTTGATTGCATAAAGGGAAAGCAAACTAACAAGACTACTAAAAGTGCCACGAGGAGCTCGAAATTTTAGAAATCATACATATCGACATATGTGGACCGTTTGATACTCCTTGCCTAAATGGTTAGAGATATTTTATCTCATTCGTTGATGACCATTATAGATCTATATATCTTTATCTTTTACATGATAAGGCTGAAGCACTTGATGCTTTTAAGACCTTTAAGGTTGAGGTAGAGAAACAAAAGGAAAAGACCATTAAGATTGTGAGGTCCGATAGAGGTGGAGAGTATTATGGTAGGTACACCGAAAAAGGATAAATGTCAAGTCCATCTACAAAGTTCCTTGAAGGAGAGGGCATTATTGCACAATACACAATGCCCGACACACCACAACAAAATGGTGTAGCTGAAAGAAGGAACCGTACTCTTATGAACATGGTGAGAAACATGATTATAATTTTAATTTACCATTATCCTGATGGAGTGAAGCATTATAGATTGCTTGTGTATATTCTAAATAGGGTTCAATCCAAGACTCGTCTCTAAGACACCTTTTGAATTATGGAATGGATGGAAATCTAGTTTAAATCATACATATGTATGGAGTTATTCTGTTGAGGTAAGGATTTATAATCATCAATTAAAGAAACTAGACCTTAGAACAATCAGTGGATATTTCATTGGTTATGCAATAAACTCTAAAGGATATAGGTTTTATTATCCTTCTCACGAGTACAAGAATAGTAGAGGCAAGAAATGCTAAATTTCTTGAGCATCTTAACCTTAGTGGGAGTGATTTTCCTCGAAGAATAAAATTTGAGGAAACACAAGATTCAACCGTGTTACATAAGGATAAAAGGCAATTGGTCATTATTCAATAAAGTCAATTAGATAATGTTGAACAACAATCAATTCCCGAGTAACAAGTTCAAGAGCAACTAGTTCTTGATGAGACAAACTCACATGAAGATGTTGAATTAAGAAGATCTTCAAGAGTAAGGAGACTAGCAATTTATAATGACTATGTTGTATACCTTTAAGAGTCTAACTTTGATGTTGGACTTAAGAATGATCGAAACTCATTTTCACAAGCCATGAATGGAGAAAACTCCAATTTATGGTATAATGCCATGAAGGAAGAAATCGAGTTTATGCATAAAAATCAAGTTTGGGATCTTGTCAAATTACTAAAGGGATACTGTAGTCGTTGGTTGCAAATGGGTTTATAAAACCAAAAGAGATTCTTTTGATAATATCAAAAGATATAAAGCTAGACTTGTGGCTAAGGGTTATACCCAAAAGGAAGGCATAGACTATCATGAGACTTTTTCTCCTATCTCTAAAAAGGATTCATTTATAATCATAATGGCATTAGTAGCTCATTTTGACTTGGAGCTACATCGGATGGATGTGAAAATAACATTTTTAAATGAAAATTTAGATGAAGAGGTATACATGAATCGGCTTGAAGGTTTTTGTGATGATACAAATAGTCACTTGGTTTGTAAGCTAAAAAGATATGTATATGGGCTAAAACAAGCATACCGACAGGTGGTATATTAAGTTTCACAATGTTATTACCTCATATGGTTTTATTAAGAACACTGTTGATCAATGTATATACCTTAAAGTTAGTGGGGGAAAATATATTTTTCTTATCCTATATGTGGATGATATTTTGCTTGCATGTAGTGACTTATGTTTGCTTCATGGGACTAAGTAATTTCTTTCTCAAAACTTTGATATGAAGAATTTAGGTGAAGCCT